AAGTGTTTGGTTTATGGTTATTTGTTATGATGGTTTAGTTTCTGTGTTTGTGTGGTTTATGCTTTTTTTTATTGTACAGTCCTTTTGTTGTGAACTCCTTGGTGGTCGTAGTAGGGGAAACGTGCTTTAATTTGTATTATGTTAATTTAGTATTATTGTGTGATCATGTGAACTTTTCTATTTATATTTTTATTGTATTTTTAAGGTTGAATCTACTTGGTTATTTGTGTTGCCCTTCTCAGAGGATTACTACTGATATGGGTCGCTCATTTTCTATTCGTCTTAACTACACGTATTATATGTGAGTATGTTCACAATTGCATATAAAATAAAAAATAAAAAAATAAAAAATATAAACTATGTTTTTTTTTTTCTTTTCTTTTCTTTTGATTTGGGGGAGTCTGGGCGCGTCTTCGTATGCTCTTGTTGAATTCTGACCCTAACTTTGGATCCACCAGGTCCGTTAAATTTCCTTTTTGTTGCAAGAATATAGCCTGCAATAAGCACAATGACGAAAAGACATGAATTTTATGCATGATGAAAGTCTTTGCTCCTTTGTTGAACAACTTTTCACTTAGAATTCATTCTAGTCTCTACTTGTCTTGCCCAATCTAGAAGGCATACAAAAGTTCTCATTTGGGCGATATCTCATGTTGTTTTTGCCAGCCACAATTTCCAATGCTAAAACCCCAAAACTATATACATCTGCTTTATCAGTTAAGTAACCCCATAGTGCATACTCTGGTGCCATGTATCCTCCGCAAAATAAGAACTATTCAATTAACTAAGTCCGATACAAGAAAAATTAGTTAATCTCATTGCCAATTTGCAATCTAATCATAAAGCTGCAACAACAAAACAAAAGGACTAGACTGTAACGACCCCTCATGAGCCGTCGCAGTTATCTTAATTTTTAAATATTTACCTCTTAAAGAAATGCAAAAAATAGTTAAGCTTAAAATACTTTACTTTGAATGACTTAAAGAAATCCTAATTTTTTTTCATATTATAACTTTAAAATTTTAAACCTGCTCAAAGAAAAATAACCTTTAGCTTCAACTCATTTATTAAAATTCAAACCGTAAAATAAACTTAAAAAAAATCTAAAATATTCTTCAAATAAAAACCACCATAAACTAAAGTTCCAAAACAATAAAAATAAAAATTAAAAACTTTGTTTAACATTAAGCACTTTCATCTCATGATCGTTTCTCTCATTTTCCTATCACGCACCGCTCGCATCCGCTCTAAAATTCTCAATGGCCACATCTTACCCTTTAGTTCATCTGCAACATAAAATAACTTATATAAGCAAAGGCTTAGTAAGACACTTAAATCTCACAAACGTAAATGAACATCATTCATCAACAATAAACGTCATCATGAGAACAATTATTTTTGAACATGTTTAAACTTTAAAATCCATCATATATTGGGCATGACATTGTACCATCATAGTGTGCTAGCCACAGAAGGTTGTACCATCATAGCGTGCTAGCCACATAAGACATGAGGTAGCAAATCTCATACCAACCGTGACAATAAGACCGCTCACCGGTCACCATCAAAGGTGTACAACGCCATTTAAAAACATAAAAATACATATACATTTTTCTTCAAAACGTCATCATAAGAGAATTATTAAAAGCATCATAACATCATCATAGACATCAAAATCATATACTTCTCAATTATTCAATTCATGTTGCAGGTGAGAGTCTACTTACTTGAAAGCTTTACTTAACTTTTTTAATTATTCCAACGGTGACGCGATGAATGAGGTCCTCGAGAGCTCGCCTCTAAAACCGTTCATACCGTAAATCATAAATAAAATTACTAAAAAGCCTTAACAACTCATCAAACACATTGATCACGTTAAAACAACATCTAATAGACCATTCTCATCATTCATTAACGTCAAGACATAAAAACCCATCAATTACACAAAATTACAAAACTTAACAAAAACTGGCAGCCTGACCTTCACCCCTTTAAAAACTCATAACAATTCACACAGAACCCTAAATGACCTGAAAACTAATTTCAAATTAAAGTAAACATCTAGAGCTTTCTAACGGTATCTAAGTTGCTAAAAAGGGAGTTCGTTTGGTCCCTCAAACACTGTTTTAAAATCAGAACATGAAATCTAAAAAAATTTCAGCACTCAAACTAGGACGAAAATTCACCAAAAATTCTATAAAATACAAAACCATCATCTCAACATGTATAAACAGCACCCCCTTTATTATTCAGCTCTATAATATGTTTCTAATACTTAAAGAAATATAAATACGTACATATATATACATCTTATACCTTTACAAAATGATGATTAAAATAATCACATGACCCAATCATATAAACGATCATAAATAAATCCTAGCATGTTTCTAGGTTGTACAAGAACCAATAATTCCATTATTAACTCAATTACCAAAATCGCCAACCCCTATAGCATGCTTTCTAGGAAGATACAAAACAAAACAATCAAATAATAACTATGACTAACATAGAGTATAATAGAAACCTACACTCAAAATCATATAATCAAATTAAAAACCGAATAGTCTTGAATCATAGAACTCATATTGATGGTATAGCCTCACTCATCATCATCTCATAAATACGTCTCTCCTCTTTCTCAAACAAAAGTCATCATTGACAATCAAGTCCGTACCCTTGAAGAATTTTAAACCAACAGCATAAATAACAAGAGAAATCATACCTTAACGATCTCCTATTTTATCTTGATTGCCAGAAAAAATCAAAAGAAAGATTAAGAGGTGAGCTTGATGGCTGATTATGAAGGTTTTCTTGTGGTGTTCTTGAACGTGAGAGAAAGAAGAAGAAAGAGAGAGAGTATCCGTTTGAATGGAATTGTACGTGTAATTTCCCTTCTCTAAAATAGCGTATCATAAACATATGAAAAATGTGTGATTGAAAGGGAATTTTTTTTTTATTCTTTTTATTTTTCCGCTTCAAGTACGCTGGTCACAGCTTCTATTATCCTTTGACCATGCATATGGTTAATATACATATATGGCAAGGCCAGTAAAGCAATGAACCTGCCGATCTTCCTCACATCGTATATGAAGTTGACTCTCACTTATAAATAGGCCCAAGAAAGAAAAGGAATGAAAGCATGTAATATATAACTCAATAAAGAATATTAATTGGCTTGAATTGGGTGATATAATGGCTGTCAAAAAGGTAGAAATCGTGTGAAGCAGTTTTTCTTTTTTTTTTTTGACACGGTTATATGCATATTATGCCAACACACCAAATAGAAGATAAACAAATAAATAAAATAAAATAAACAAATTCTTCAAATCATTACATATATGATTTAACATTTTGGCATGAACTTGTTCCTGCACCTCGAGTTCTCGTCGCGATCACCTGTAGAATATAACTCAACGTGATGTTAGAAGTAACTAAATATAACACCATAACATTATTCAAATATATTCTTAACGTCTATTTTTACAAATTTGTCAATTAGAAAAATGGGTGTTACATAGACAGAGATAGATTAGTCTTCTAAACACTTTGGAATGGAACAAAATAACAAAGAGGTAAAAATCTTGGCAAGCTGATACTCATGATAAGGAGAAGAAAGTCCAACAAAAATGACAGAAGGAGCGAAAGGATCTGCAAACAATGAAGAAAATTAACTTACATAGTTCCAGCAACTCTGGTGCTAATGTAGGTGTTCTCCTCTTCATTTAGTTTGGCCAATCCAAAGTCCGATATTTTAGGATTGAGGTTCCCATCAAGCAGTATATTCGTCGCTTTGATGTCTATATGAACAATTTTCTGAGTTGACTCCTCATACAGGAAAGCCAAACCTTTTGCAATGCCAATACATACTCTTTGCCTTGTTTTCCAGTCTAATATCAATCCACCTTCTCCTGAACATTTTCATCAGAAAGAAAAAAATTTGACATAATCAAAAGAATTTATCAACTAGTTAGTTATTTAGCTGTAGATGGTCTTGCACATAGGCCATTAAGCTTACCAAACAAAGAGTGTGCGAGGCTATTGTTCTCCATGTATTCACAAACCAACAGCAGTTGCTTTCCTTCAATGCAACATCTATGCAGTTTGACAAGATTTGGATGTTGTAATGCAGAAATCATGCCTATTTCGTTGACAAATTCACGATTTCCTTGCTTCGATTTTGTTAGTTTACCAATCCATCCCAAAAGCTTAAGCTTTTGGGATGGATTGGTAAACTAACATGGTATCAGAGCGGGAGGTCCTGAGTTCAAACCCCCGTAATTGCACTCTTTATCCCCATTTAAAAATTGTTATGTGTTGGGTCTTTAATATATCTCCGGCTTAAATATTCACGTGTTGGGCTTTCGAATTAATTTACCCACACGATTGCCCATTGTCCAGCCCACACGTGAGGGGGCGTGTTAAAGTATAAAACTATTGTCGACCCACCTCCTAATAGCTTAAGCTTTTGGGATGGATTGGTAAACTAACAGATTTAGAAGAAGTTGCTTAACTGCAATGATAGTGCCATCTAGAAGTACACCCTGCAATGGAAATATGGCATTTATACATTAGTTTCCTTTTCAAAATATAGAAAACAAGTGAAAGCATGTATGTAAAATCATAAGAGCAGATCCTTCAAAAAAAAAAATCATAAGAGCAGAGTAAAAATTTGAATAGTGAATACCTTGTAGACCGATCCAAATCCACCTTCCCCCATCTTGTTTGCTGCATCAAAGTTGTTAGTGGCGGCTTTTATCTGTCTGAATGTAAAGAAACCAGTTTGAAGATCCAATCCTCTCAGAACTGTCCAAGTAAGAACAAAGTGTTCACATGTTAGACAACTTATTCGTACAAATTTGAGCAAACTAGAAGAAAAGAACTGTTTTTATACATAATTAAGTCAATCACATTCTTTTAGTTCCTCTAAATGAAACATTTAACTGAACCTTGACTTGAGAACACTTAAGCATTTTGTTTTTTCCAATTTGCAAAGGAAACAAAAAGATTCAGAAAAATGATTCATAGTGGTAATGAATCACGTGGTTGCTTCACGACTCACTTTAATATTCTTATTTTGATTCTTTTGGTTGAGTGGAACCTTCTAAAGTTCTTGGACGAAAGAATTAGCTCTAAAATTTGATGATAGTGTAAGTTTTATCTTGTTCCCTTGATGTCTTGCCTGCAAAATAGCCTTTCCACCAAAGAATGCCTAAAACTATAAAAAGAAGACATACTGCTGAAACAACTCCAATGATAATATACTTCTTCGCGTTGCTTTCGTCAGGTGGTTCAAAATCTAGAAAATGAAACAGAGAGCACCATTTTGTTATCTAGTAAAACAGTTAAAATAAATAAATAAATAAAAAAAGAGAGAGAGAGCCTGCAAGAAATATTAGGACACTACTCTCTTACTTATGCTTGGAGACAATGTCCATGCAATGTTAACCTAGTTTCTACAAAACTGTGGATGTAAAATTCTATTCCTTCTAAGAAAACGTATTAGATATGTTTTAACAAATATGTAACATAGGCAGTAGAAAAAAGAATTAGTAAAAAGCCAATTTATGACGACACAAATAACTCAACTAACACCATCTCCAATGTAAATGCCAATGCCAATGCTATATAATAGATATGTTATTCCATTTTATACTCCAATACATAATTCTATTTGAAATTCTACATCTACCTTTTATCATAATTATCAAGTTCTGAGACTTGCAAAAGTAAACTTTTAACTTTAAAATAATTTAAAAATAGCGTAATGATTAAATGAAAAAGTCAATGCATCAACTAATAATATTCCAATGCCAAAATTTGATAAATGCTATGCTTGGTGTCAAATTTAGCACCGAGTATATAGGATATGCAAAATATAGCACCAAGAATAACATTTTATTAACTGAAATTTGGCATGCATTGGAGATGCTCAAAAGTTGCTTACCGGACTTCACCGAGATGGCAGATATAAGAGAACCATATGTTCCTCTCCTTGGAACATTCCTTGTCCCTTTTCCGGCCCAATAGAAGCGGATCTCTATAGTGTCTTATTGCTCACAACTGCCTTAACTTCCCTAATCACTTCCTTATCAACCCCATTTGCTGCCTCTTTGAAATTGAAATCCTTCAACACCAGTTTTCTTTGCAACGAAATAACCAGTTTTCCAAATACTGCAACACCATTTTTCCAAATCTTGTTAGACTGTATGGACGTTGCATTGAAGGGAATCAGTTGTTGTTGGCGTATGAATAAATAATAGTCTTGCTCTCGCTTTATTTGGTAAGCTTAAAAGGTCTTACTATACATGAATAAGAACTAACAAAACTGTATTATTTTATTAATAAGATTTTAATTTGATTGTAGGTCCAGATGATGCAAGATTGAATCTGGATTGGCCTACAAGGCATAAAATATGTGTAGGCAAAAGGCCTGGCTTTTTTACATGAGGAATCAACACTGAGAGTTGTTCATAGAGACATCAAAACTACCAACATTCTACTTGACAAAGACCTTAATCCTAAGATCTCCGACTTTGGTTTGGCCAAGCTTGATGAAGAAGAGAACACCCACATTAGCACAAGAATTGCTGGAACTATGTAAGCATAATTTCCTTTACCAACTGACGCGTGTTTGTGTGTATGATATGCGAATGATTAGCTGCTAGACAAATAACAATGTGCATTGGTGCAGAGGATACATGGCACCAGAATATGCATTATGGGGCTACTTGACCTATAAAGCAGATGTTTTCAGCTTTGCTGTTGTTGCACTAGAAATTCTTGCTGGGACGAGTAACATGAAATATAGACCAAATGAAAACTATGTTTGCCTAGTGGATTGGGTTAGTTCACAATCATTTCCTTCCTTGGAAAATTTGAAAAGCTTGACAAGATTGTAAGCTATTCAATGGTTGTGTAATTCTATTATTGTTACCTTAGAGTGATCAAAGAAAAACAATGATTCTTCTTACTTTTTGAAGTTGGTTTTTGTCGCAGGATGTTCAGGAGCTGTAAACTCTATAGAACTATCCCTGCTTATATATCTAAGATGACAATGCCTGTCCTCTTCCTCCATCCTTTCAAAATTCATTTACATATCTTTATTCTTCAAATAGAACACCAAAAGAGTTTAGGAAACGACCATCCGGTACTTAATCATTCAATTTCTTATTACATCATTTTTTTATTTTTTATTTTTTCTCTTAGCTTCAACAAATTGGAAGGAAATATTCCAAATCTTGAAGGTCTAACTCTCTTGGTGACAATGTAAGTGCTGTTTTGAAATAATCAGGGGTTTTTTTTAGCATTGTTGCCCATCAAACTTTTTGGTTATGGTTACTCCCTCCAAACTTCAAATTTTACCAATTTGGTCCCTAAATTTTACTTATTAAAATGATGATGGAAAGTCCACGTCCACCTTATTATGTAAGACAAAAAAATCTCATGTCCGTCCAAAAATTTTCAAATATAATCCAAAACCCTAATGTAAATCTTTTCACATTCAAGTCAATTTAACGAGAAGTTAACAAAATGGAGCACATTGCAACAATAAAAAAAGTTTAGGGGCTAAGATTAAAAGTTTAGAGGGCAAGTTGCTAACTGTAAATTTTAAGCCCAAAAATGCTAAAACCCGTAAAATAGAATTGTATCAGAACTAGAAGCAAAACTGAAGCTAGTATATCGTGGCACTAGTACTTTTAAAGTTTTATATATAAATATAATATTGGAATTCCAATGAAAATATGATTTTTTGTCAAAACACGCTTTCTTTTATTAAATTTTTTCCAAAACACACTTGTTCTTAACATTGAAAATTATTTGTACTTGTGAACAGGTATTTGACGAGAAACTTGCTCAATGGACCAATTCCAGAATGGAACAAAGGGAGAAATCACCATTAATAGTATGTTCTCTGTTCTAAATTTCATATTCAACTTAATTTAAATTCATTTCCATCATCACTTTCTACTTTATTCCAGTCTGGAGAAACATTTTTGGTCGCTATCATCATTTTGTTTAATTTTATGCATGAAAAGAGTAATAGATTCCATTCCGTTATATTGTTTAATTTTGATATCATACCCTTCCAAGATATGTTTTTTGTTTGCTATTAGAAGCATTAATTTAAGGAGTTATATGTGTTTATGTGCAGCTGTAATACCCGAGATTTAATTAAGCCTTAAGCCAATAATAAATAAATTTAGTACATTAAAATCATGCACCACATTTACCATTTATCTTAAAGTTATTTGTTGGCATTATATTTTATTATTATAGCTATCATATGATTTTATTAAACTTATAGCTTTGCTAATCAAGTTTTCAGTTTTAATGTGCAGTGCAATTAACTTGATGTAGGAACTCAATGTGCTAAACTTATGAAGAAAAAATGATATTTATTATGATTATTTGATATGATATTTTACCTCTATTATGATTGATTTAAGGATGAATTATTATTTTATATTTTTATTATATGGTTTTATGTAAATGTGTTGAGGATTTAGTTGCTATTTTGAGTTTTTGTGAGAGAATGCTATGTTAGCAAATTGAGTGAACTTTAGGCACCTAATTGAAGAAGAAAAATAGAGACTTTAGAGCTGATTTTATGAGGTTATGACAGATATTAGCGGCTTAGAAAAACCTAGACACTTGTCCTACTATAAGGTCACTTTACTTTTGCTTGGTTTCTATCATGTTTAGACTTCATTTTTGGTTCTATTTCAGCAAAAAAAAAAAGCCTAGAACTCCGGCCATAACATTTTCTTCTCTCTTCTCACTCCTTTTCTCACCCAAAACTCAGAATCAAACCTAGATTTTCAAGAGAGAATGAGCTAAAAACTCAACCAACCCATTTCAACTCAATTTTCAACCTAGAACCAAAAATAACCATCAAGGTTTTGAGCTTCTATTTACTTGGGAACGACTTTTTCTTTGAGGTAACTTCTTTCTTATGTTAGAAACTAAGATTTTAGAGATTAAAATGTTGAAATGCTACTTGAGATTCAGATTTTTGATGTGGCTTGTCATGCATGTTGGTTGTAGACCCTTAAAAATGAGTTTCTTAAGGTTTTGGTTCAATTAATATTGGTTTCTAGGTGAAATTAATGATTTTAGCTTGACATTATTGATGATTATTTGAAGATAAACTCTTATTAGGATGATGATTTATGTATTTAAGAGTAGGTCTTTGAAGGTTAAGATCTGCATGCTAGGTATTTTATTAAATGTTCAAATATAAGCCCTCTGTACAGCTTATGTAGATTCTATTTTTGTTCTATATATATTTATGATTTTGACTGATCTTATATTTTTTTATTAAATTATACATCTCAAGCTTTACATGAATTTTTGAATCACTCTCAACGGATTTTTCTACATTTAGTTAGGAATTTTACAAGTTCAATTAAAAAGCTATCATTTTCTTGGCGAGATTATACTTCAATCCGGATTTCGGGCTGTTTTTGGTTAGTTTAAAAAATCTGAAACCTATCATATAGTAGCTCTAAAAAGATGGTTTTTAGTCTACTTTTATTTTGCCACTGATCTCATAATATTTTGAGTTTTGATGAATTTGTTATGAATATTTTTGTAACAATGCACAGTTATGTGTTTTGTTAAATGATGATATGAATGTGATTTTTGAAAGCTATGGTTTTTAAAGGTTAATTAGCACATTGAAGGCTCCCCACAACCAGCTAGGTTGTGCTTGCAAAGTGGTGATCAAAATTGTGACGACCCTCCTTTGAGGCCGCCACTGTTACTAACTTTTTAACTTGTACTTACTGGGGTTTCTTAAAATTTGCAGAACATTTTTTTTTTAATATAAGAAAGAATACTTTCATAATTTGTAACAATAATTTCAAATAAGTGAATCACTAAATTTCTTAATGTTTTTCTTAATTTCAGTTAAGATAAAACGTTCTAAAAATATCT